AAAGTTATCTTTTTCAATCGAAATCAGATAACAAACGTTTCTTCTCTCGGCGTCTTGATGAGGATATTCATCGGGAGTAAATTTAGCGTCCGGTCACAAATTTAACAAATCCAATTTAGATGATTGGCTCTTAAAACGATAAGCCTAATTACTGCCGAACATCCTTTTAAACCTTTAATTCTGTTGGCCCCTTCCCCCGTGGGCGATCGGTAATTTTTTATCCTGAGGGGAGGTCATATCTGAGGCACATAGTTGTATATACAGGGAGTACCTAATGAAGAATAAGAAGATGAAGCTCATAGATGTATTAAATGTACTTTAATATTGTCTCATCTGGGTTGTTTAGCGGCTAAAATAATTGTATATTTCTCATTGGACCAGGGGTTGGGTTCAGATAAAAGTCAGAATTTTGAGTGTTGATTTTCAAGGCATACATAACTTTTTCATTTGATGCGCTGGTACAACTTAACTTTCTTTCCCTGTAGTGGTGCACAGTCGGGTTCGACAATGACGTCTATGTGCAGGAGTGGACTGAAACTTGACGGAAAAGTCCAACGCTGGAACGGCCGCAATGGGGACAGGGAAACTGGCCTGGATGATTGGGTGCTTGTAAGACTGTCTTCTTTTTTGGCACGAGCCTCATTGATAGGTTTGCCTCAAATGCCCTGTTGCTTCGCGCATGAGGTTCAAACTGCCTGGCGGATATTCCTGCGAGGGCGACGTTTGTCTTGATGCAGTCTTTGAAATGTTTTAATGGTTTCCGTGTCAGTGTTGTTTCTGCGCTGTCAAGGACCTCAACGTTTGTGATCCTATCCTGTCACTTGATGCCCAGGATAGAGGAAAAGCTATGCATGCACCTGCTATAAGGGGTCCAGACCTCACATCCTTAGAAAAGGCTGGTGAGGTCAACTGTCGTGTAGACCTTAAGCTTGGTGAACAGCTGGATGTTATATTGATTCAGCACACGATCTTGCAGTCTGACCAGGTCTTGACTTGTCTCTTTGTTGGGGGAGCCATCGTTGTAAATGACGTTTCCAAGGTACTTTAATTCCTTCACCGATGGAGATGGATGTTTGCATAGAATATTTCTGTTGCTTTGCGCATCATAGGACGCAATCCAGTTCGATCTTGGGCACTGTCTTCAAGCTGCTTGGGGGCTATTATAACGTGGCTAATGTTGGCCATGATGCGCTCTTTAAAACGTTTCAGTGACCTACTATGCTTTCTCTATCTCTTTGACAGATAACCATAGAGAAGTTGCTTTCGGATTCCGTCATTGTCCATCTGGATGACATGCTCCGTCCATCTGAGCTGGGCTTTCAGAATCATAGCTTCAATGTTGATGGTTTCTGCGGGGTCTAGGATCTCAAGATTAGTGATCCTATCCTATCATTTGATGCCCAGAATAGGGTACAAGCTTCGCATGTGAAAGTGCTCCAACATATTTGGCAAATATACACACACACACACAAAAACACATGAACGTCTGAATATGTTTAGACGTATATATTAAGAGACATTCTTATCTACGTACAAAATGTAAACTTATAGCTGTGAACAAATGCTGTGGACCAATAGGGTTATGGCTAGCGTGATCAAAGTATGAATTTATTGACATTATTACAAGACACGTAACTAAGCACTTGTTACCGTGTATCGATGTAGATTTGACCAATAAACGCATACATAAAGTGATCAGTGAGCATTCACGCCGGTGTTTATGTTCCAATTCGTTTTCATTGCTTTTGCTTGAGGGCAATATTTGAAATGGAGAAACTTTCCTTTCCATTCTATGTCCGCATCCACATATGCAATCCCGAATTTTATTGTTTTTCAATATGTATATGTACAGGTAGTCACTCTTATTCGAGGATACCAGTCTATTAGGGCGGCTAGACAATCCCTGTTGCAGACGCTTGTTCAGGCGCATTTGTGTTTATTCAATACCCACATGGTCCATCTGGGATTTATACTGCAACTGTACTGAACAGACCTTAGTTCTAGTTTCTGGGAGAGAGCGTGTTATCCAGAAGGATCAATAATCAACACCAGCACAATCAAACCCTCGGTGACGATGACTTGTGACTATCGACAGCTATCGACGGCACGTCTAACCGATTTCATTCACAAGGTCAACCTGTGGTATGGTTTTCAGGCACTTACGAAAGGTGCCGCCCGTTGGGATCGACCCCTCCAGTCCGATAACATCTGGAAAACTACTTCCTGACAAATCGACGACGGTGAGATTCGAACCCAGGTTTCAGGGTCAGAAGGCGGACGTTCTAACCACATTGTTTTTCTATTATTACAACTACGACAAGGATCACAGACCATTAAAGAATCTCTCATATTACATTTGGTGTGTTATCATCAAATAAGATACGTTTTTTTTAATAACTATCATACACCATAAGGCTCGAGAGTCACTAAAGGAAGAGGATTACAGCTGAAATGGTAATGATGAGTGAAGTACGTGAGAGAAGTAGGTATTACAAAGATAAGGAAGCAAGATAGATAACACTTAACATGAAGTGATTAAGATTAAAGTTTTCCCGCGAGAGGATGTTCTACAAAATGGCACTTCATGGGGAAAAGTTATCAGAATGGAACTTCCTTCTTGAATGTAAATGTTGGCTCCATGCAAAAGACATGATGCAAATGGGTGCCACGATAAAAAATGTTGACGTGATACAAATCACTGTTCGAATTCATATAGCAGCCATGATGCAAATCTTAGCGTAAGACAAATGCTTTTTATGATGCAAATGGTTGTCATGATGATGTGATACATATGGCTTTGATAATGCAAATAGTTGTCATGATCAACATATTAACGTAATACAAATGTTTCTTATGATGGAAATGTTTTTCACAATGCAAAATACAAATGGCCCTTTTTAACTGCGTCTTTTTTAGAGAAAAAGATGAGATTTCTGTAAAAGAAATTGTTTTCTTTAGTGGAAATAATTGCTTATAACAATTCAAATCCAGGCTGCTCGTCTGCACAAATTCCCTTGAAAATGGCATGAATCCAACTACCCTAACCAGTCAGATTTTTTTTTCTTTTGGTAGCATGAAACCAAATATGATCTGATTCATAATACTTAGTTTAATGCTTTTTGAAAAGATATGATACCACCTCTGCTAATTAATTAACCATCGAAATCCTGGATTTAACAGTAGATCAAACATTCATCTTTGACAAGAACAGAAAACATGCAACTCAGTCAGCAAAGAAGCAATGTTACGAATAATAATAATTAACTTTTTGCATCACAAAGGCCAAATGGTGTGGAAATAGACAAAAAGCTACATTATCTTGTAACACTCGTCCAAGTGAAGAGACCCTATTTGCAATAATAATTGCCATCTCATTTCCGAGGTTCTTATTTGGAGGCGAACACTGATCTCTGGCGCCCGTCAGGCTGCGAACCAAGATTACAGATTCCTTGATTTTCAGTCAATGATGTCTTGCAAAACTACAATAGTGAAACACATTATAAGGTTCTTGTTCACATTGTAATCATTTGACTGACAAGGTTTGTTACCCATCAATATACAACAGGCATTCCATAAATAACATTACGTACATATGTTTATTCTCCTCAGCTACCTACATCAGTTATTCACATAATCGATTGGAATACTGAAGTATGCCAGTTTTATTACAATAAAGCAAAACATATTAACCCTGCTGTCAAAAGTTTGCTTACTACACAAGGGTTTATTTATGAATCAAATGCGATGGGAAAAATTATGCCCTTCAAAGCCAAACTATCTGACAAGGTGAGAGTAGAAATGGTTGCAACCAGAATTTAGTCACCAATAACCGATAGATTTGGGTTGCTAACTTAATTGAGTTTTCTTAACTGAGAAGATGCTAAACGATCTATCTCAGTCTGTTCCTATCTATCTATCTATCTATCTATCTATCTATCTATCTATCTATCTGTTCCCAATCTGTCTATTTATCTGTCTGTTCCCATCTATCTATCTATCTATCTATCTATCTATCTATCTATCTATCTATCTATCTATCTATGTTATGTATTCTAAAAATAGTACTAAAAATAAAAGCTAGACGAGATATCTCTAGAACATCCTATCCCCGAAGATTAAATAAAGGCTTCAGTTGCAAATTCTTTTCAGGTTACCTGCGTAACTATTGATGAAAGACTTCTAAAAAATTAACAATTAAAAATAGAACTAATAAAAAATAAAGACTAGACGAGTTATCTCTAGAATATTCAACCCCCGAAGATTAAATAAAGTGTTCCGTTCCGAATTCGCTGTCGGTTACTCGGATCAACATACACAACTAATAGTACGCAACAACAAAGATGAAGATAATAATCCGTATGTAAATAATGCTCCCATTCATGACTGTCTCTTGCCGTCTATTCATTGACTTGCATTATTTGTCCCAAAGAAAAAAAAGGAAGAAAAACATCGTGCTCAACCATAATAGTAAATCTTATTCTTAATATAAGACAGTACAAGTCGACACGTGAGAGCGGCTTTAATAAGAATCATACTTCGATAGTAGCAGTGATTTACGAGACGAACTTACCAACCGTTACTGTACCACGAGTCGCTCAAATGATTTCCTTATTGGTATTTACTCATATACGTGCTCATGAACCAATAGACGTTTGTGTCCTTTCATAAATTTTTGTTGAGTTTGATGGCTGCCATATTGGTCAAGTAACAGTATGGCGCATTCGTGGACGAACAATGATTGGAAAGGATTTTTTTAGAAAAAAAATTGAACGAAATTCGCTTGGCAAAAATCTTGCCAGTAAGCTTGGAGATCATTGAGAAGAACTGTGAAAAAAATATCCACATTGGATTGCTCCATCTTCTTCTCCAAAAACAAATAAAAACAACAGCATTATCCATGTTATTCAAATGATGGAATTTAAAACGAAGTTCAAATGCTCAGAGATTTATTGCGTTCGTTTAAATCGAGGTTGGATTTCGTGAAGGCTTCTTTGTAGAGATAATTTTAGAATATTCTTAAGGAATTGTTCGGTTATCCACTAAATCAGTTTTAATTTGCTCGAAAAACAGAAAGGACAAGAAAATTTGTTTAAAAGTTAACAGAATAAATGTTTTCAAGGTTGCATAATAAAAAACAAAGTCGATAAATCTGGGCTTTTTTGTGTTCTCTTAACTGAGAAGATGGTAAACGCCAGGTTTTGTAACTTTTGATCAGTCTGTTTCTATCTATCTATCTATCTATCTATCTATCTATCTATCTATCTATCTATCTATCCCAGTCTGTTCCTATCTATCTATCTATCTATCTATCTATCTATCTATCTATCTATCTATCTATCTATCTATCTATCTATCCCATCTGTTCCTATCTATCTATTTATCCCAGTCTATCCTATCTATCTATCTATCTATCTATCTATCTATCTATCTATCTATCTATCTATATATATATATGTGTATATATGTATATATATTTAGGAAGCATATAATAATTGTTGGGGTTTATTTTCGACATTTCTATAATTATTTTACGTGTTTATACAGACAAGGTCTCTGCTCATCTGTTTGTCTTTCTTTTTTTTTGTTTGACGAAACCGGAATTTGTTTATTTATTTAGGGAATCGCAAAATTCGTCTAGGTTCCTATCACTAAAATGAATTCGGCAACTTTCTCAGTTATTTCATTCTTAATTTTCTGATCCCAAAGAAACGTAAGGTAAGGATGTCTCTTCTTAAGGGATTTATTCACTCTTCACCGTGAGGCGAATCTAAGAGAAATCGAAGTCCTACCAGGATTCATTATTGGCGGCCATAATCTTAATAACATTAGATCTGCAGATGACACAGTCCTGATAGCAGACACAGAAAGGTAACTGCAGGAATTCTATAGGGAAGAAAGAAAGCGAGAAGAAAGGGGTAACCATCAGTTGTATGAAGACAGAATGCATGGTTGTCCGTAAAACAGAACAGCACAAGATGCAAAACTGCGAATTAGATGCGCGAAAATCAAGCAAGTACAAAAATTTAAATACCTAGAATGTGTTTTATCAGGGAACGGAAAATAGGACACTGAAATCCGAAGGCATATTGGGATTCAGAAGTTTAAGGGGATTTTTAACGGCATATTAACCTTTAGAGTCCTTTTATGCGAAAACTGATTTATTTGGGTTTTAGAGAAAATGGACAACCTTTTTTTATATTTTCAGATATAATTCATCTGATTTTGGGAATGTTATAATTCTATTTATTTTAGTATTTTTGAATAATACTTTTAGGATGTTTTCATTGAAGAAATTGCATCTTTGAGTCAAGATCAATGCGTTTTTTGTCATGTGTGGAACAGCATTATTTTATAATTGTTGACCATATATATATATATATATATATATATATATATTATATATATATATATATATATATATATATATATAAGATATCAGTGTTAGTGGAAAACCTAAATAAAAGGTTTGCCTGGCTCTTCCTGATTATTTGATCTACTTATGATTGTTTACGTAGATGTTTTTGACCTGACTTTGAATCTGAAAATTGTTTTCGTAATGGTTTAATATTCTAAAATCTTTCTTTTTTTTTTATACACCTTTGTTTTATAAGCGTTTTCAGATATATTTAATTTTTAATTTTTTTCATATTTCTGACTGATTTTGGAATGTTATTCTTCTGCCTTCTTTATATTTATCTTATTTTGAATGTCAATAAATTATCTCTGTTAATATTTTTTATCTATGCTAATCTAAATTATGGAATGATAATGATTACTTTTCAATACCCGATAAAGAAATTGCTATCTTTTGAGGAGGGTTAATTTCCATTGCGTATTAATTAGCTCTATATAACTTGAATGAATATGTTAGGTCCAAATCTTTAAAATTTTATCTTTTCGAATAAATAATTATATTTGTCTATAATGTATTAATTTTAATAATAGTAATTTGTTAGTTATTTTTAATTATACAATGACCACTATATATATATATATATTTATATATATATATATATATATATATATATATATATATATATATATTAGATAGGAAAATATTTATAAGGCATTTTTAAAAAATCTAAAGCTAAAAAAAACTAATCAAATTAGTCCCAATATTTATCAAGTTTTTTATTCTAAACATTTAAAATGGGTCTGTAAATTAAAATTTTTAATTTTTAACGTCAATAATTTGGATTCGAAAATTCAACTAGCAATTTACCCTTTTGGGTTTTGATCCCTCCAGGAATATCCAACTGACTAACAGTTCTGGTTCTGCTATTGCTGAACATTTAATAAATAGATCAGAACTGTGGAAAATTTTTGACTATTTATCAATTTTTATTTAGGTCCCATTTTTCAATCAAAAATCTATCCTTGTATATCAGATCCCCGTGAGCCTTCCTTTAAAAACAGATTTGCTTGTATCTAATATTATCTATATATATATTTTTTTTTTTTTTTCCATTTTTAATTTAATTTAATTTTTAAATTGTTTCAGAATAAATTTGGATAAGTTTTAGGACGAAACCAGTTTTTTATTTAGCTTTTGCTTTTAAAACCATCTTTTAACTGGATTAAATTCTGAACGAAAAATTTTTATATTTTTTGTTTATATATATATATATGTTTATATTTTAAAAATTCAAACTTTTTTGTATAAATGTGAGAACGGAACAATGGACTTTTTAAAAAGAAACCTCTGTTTTGACAGTTACTGTTCTTGTCAAACTCACTGCCTTTATGGCAGAAAAAATATTTTAATTTATCCAAGACCTTTTTTTTACGTTTGTTTGAATTTATAACAAACACCAAAAATCAAAAAACTTTGTGTTGAAAATTGACACCAGATTATGTCATTGTTAGGAAAAAACTGGCTTTCAATAAATCAAACATATTTTTGTCTGATTTGCAGCTGGACTAATTTATTGATTATATTCTGAGGCATTATAATTTTATAAATATAGATCTCAATCAACATTTTTCATCCACCCCATAAAACCTCTTGATTTTGATTATTGAACGGATTAAATTTTCCTCTAGTAAAAGAAAATATTTTATCATCTTATTCGCCATTAAAACAAATCATTTCAACGTTTTGTTACAAAAATTTCATTGTTTTTGTTACCCTACAAACCATTTGTATGCTTCCATCTATTCTTCAGGTGGTTTCAATGTCTATCTCTTTCTGAACCTTTTCTTTTTTCTAAAATTTCTGGGTTTATTTAACACGGTTTGAAATTTGTAAAAAAATAATTGTTGTTAAAAATATTGATAATTGAAACAGTAAAAATACATTATTTTAGATTTTTAAAAAGATTTTCTGAAAAAACAGACAATAAACAACACAAAATAAAAACAGACAAAAAACAAAATAAAATAAAAAAATAAAGAAAAAACGAAACAAAATAAAAAAACAGACAAAAAACAAATGCAAAGTAGTAGCTATCGACATGTGATTAGTAAATACATGAACAAATATTTTTTTAAGCATTTCACCCCAAGCAAGGCGGGAAGCCACTAGCACGCAAGGAGTTACAGAGGATTTGGAGCGAGAGCAAATAGGAGTGATAGAGGAAAGGATGAAGAGAAGGATAGGGGATAGATCAGGGCATCTGGAGACGTCGATTGACATTACATTTGAATAGTTGGAGATTATAGCTATCAGGGAAACAAGAAAAGGGAAGGGAGTTCCACAGGCAAGAGGTGTGAGACATGAAGCTATTGGAGTAGAAGAGACAGCTACATTTGGCAGTTTCAACAGTGAAAGGATGAGAGCGGGATGCCAGCCTCGTAGGACGCTTGAAGTATTGGAACCAGAGAAAGCAGTTCATCGGAGCAATTACCATGAAAGTATTTGTAAAACAGACAGAGAGAGGCGACGGCGCGTCTGTGAGAAAGTGACTGTAGGCGAGATGCCAGATCAGGGCCAATTATATTACATATCCGCCTCTGGAGCCTATCAAGAACCCGAGGCAAACAGAAGGAGCTACAGACCATATATGGCAGCAATACTCCATGCAAGGGCGAATGTTTGATTTGTAGATCTCAAGGATCGATTCCGGGGAGAAAAATTTCCTGGCGCGGCACAGGGAGACAATTTTCCTTGCGGTGGACGAAGCAATTGACTCAATGTATTTGTTCCATCTCAGGTCAGCCGACAACGTGAGACCGAACAGCCGCAGAGAGGTGCTCTCGAGAAGTTGAGCGTCAGACATTCTAATGGGGGGCAGGGAAGGATCTCTGTGGTGATTAATAGAGAGCATCGTTAGCACGTTCATTACGCGCTGTAATAGCTTGCCTGTCCCCTACCCTCAAATTTAGCTTGCCTGTCCACGGCCCAGATATTATTGGTATAGCGGCAAGCCTCATTCTACAGTACGTCGTAGCTGTGTATATGCGTTTCTAGAAAGAAAGGAAATGGAGATAAAGAAAGCAAAGACGTCTTCGTGTGTTTAATATTTGCGCCATTGAAATAGCATATTAATAGGAAACACACTAGCCCCAAATGATTCATTTCAGTAATAAAAAAGAAGCAAAAACCGTGAAATTTCCAGAGGTCCCGCTCTATTTGATTAAATGAAATAAATGTCATAAAACCTATTGGAAACATTATTATAACGGGACATGCAGTATATGAATTTATGGTCTTTAATGAATTCTTGTAATTTATCCCCCTGGAAATGTAAAGACAATATGTCAGGTGTCAACCCGGCAATCGTAGATTTTCTATGGGTCCATCTCATAATCTACATATTCCCCCAGAATCAGTAGGTTCATTTACAAAAGATTTAAAATAATTAGCTTTTAGAAAAGACGTCTTATGAGGTCGGCATGTTTGTAAGCCTCCTCTATATACGACTCTAGTAATAATATTTCACATGACTTTTAATTCATCGGCTTTCAAATTATTCCGTAGAAACCTAGTTAAACATTTCAAGTTATTTTTTACGTCTGTTTCCATTTGGTCACTTGTTATTATTTATTTAATAACTCATAAGACTTTATAATCAAGACTCGCGTTGAAATCACTCATAGTTTTAGTATTGTTGAAGTTTAAACTAACATTTTTTTTCAGATTTTTTTAATTAGGTTCCTAATTTTTTTATTTACAATGCTATTACTGTGAATTATATTTTAAAAAATATATATATATATATATATATATATATATATATATATATATATATATCATATAAATTTTTATCTTTTTTTTTCTAACAAATGTTTATTTTCATGGGATTTCTTTTTGTTTATTTATACATATATATATATATTTATATATATAACTATATATATATAAATATATATAACTTTTATTTTTAAACATTATTTTATTCAAAAATATTTTAATTAAATGCTCTTCATTAAATAAACAAAAATTAAAAAACATTTACCAACCTGAATTTCAAATGAATTTTTAAAAAAATTTTCGTCCTCCGGCAGGAAATGAACCTGTATCCTATACGTTTATTTTATCCGATTTGGCCACAGAGGATCGTTCAGTTAAAAAAAATCAAATTTCAAACCTGTCCAAATCCAGGTTAAAACACCGTCAGGCTATATGACAAAAATGTCGGAGGACGTATATTTCTATGAAAATTTCTCGACATTCAGGCCAATAAATGTTGTTTAATACTGTTTATTTTAAACAGAACATTTACTTAAAATATTTTATCAATAAACAAAATGTATAAACATAAAAATTTATCTTTGTTGATTGTCGTATTCATTTATATATATATATATATATATATATATATATATATATATATATATATATATGTGTTGTATTAAATTGAAAAAAGTTATACAAAAAAAAAAATAAAAATGCATTTTTATTAAATAAGTATTTGTTATTTTAATCATTAAATTGTTTTTTAAAATAGTGGGATTATTTTGTATGCTAAATAATATGCTAAATATTGAAAATAAAAAGTGAAAATTATTCTCTCTTTGTTTGTAACACCCTATTTATCATCTCTCAGTTGCGTCTCTGTCTTTGGGCAGAGTGTACTCAGGGGCGGCTCCATCAAAGAACAGAGTCGCAACTGAGGAAAATTATAATGAGATGTTCTCGTCCCTGGTGAAACAGCTGCCGAGCCGCGCCCTTACATTGCACTAGGGAGAGGGATCGGTGCTCACATTTTACAACACTAACTAACAGTTTCAAAAATTGGCAATTTTGTTCTTACCCCGGATCTTTAAAAAATATCCCACATTAAACCGACCTTGTATCAAATTTGACCTCGTGGATTAAATACAAAAAAAAAAAATTATTATAGAAAGCTACGCAAGGAAATTAAAGACAACTTTATTTTTACCCATAACCTGTTTGAACTTCTCGCCAAAATTTGGTTTCGACCGGTCAATGTATAACTATTTTAGAGGGTGTGACGGACTAACGGAAGTCAAAGAATTTTATATATATAGATGTTTTGAACATTTGATTTCGAGATAATAAATTGTTTGAAAATGACATACACTCTGCTTGATTTGTCGTCCTGAATAATCTTGTCATTTCTAAACTGTGTTCGGATTTCCGCTCTACTGTCTCTTATGAAGTGGGAGTTGTTTATCTCGTATACCGAGAGCTGGTCTACCCTTATTGCCTTGGGTATTTATATAATGCCTTAGCTATGCTAATTAGGCAGTCGTTTACATATCACTACACTGTGAAAAGGTTCTATACGTTACGACGGGAATATTTCTAGCACGAATAAAATCACCAAACTAAATTCTTTTTTAAAATATTAATATTCAATATTTATACAAAAAGAAAATTATAATTTCTTTGATTGTATCGTTCTCGTGCCATTAATTTTCCGCATAAGATTTTTAAAAAGAAATGCTGTTGTTTATTGGATGGACAGGTGGTGTAACAGATATAGGCAGAGAAACTGGAATCAACGAACCGAGTTCAAATTCACTGTCGCACAAACTTTCTTGGGAAAGGATGAAACCATCTCTACTTCCCCCAGCTAAAGCAATATACCCTTGGCTCTTAAGCCTTGGATGGCAACCAGACAAAGAGAAGGAAATACCTGAATTCCAAATTGCAAAGATAACGAGGAAACACTCCACTATCTTTCCCAAGAAGGGATGGCAATTGACAGTTAATAATATAAACGAAATCTCCTGGAAGACATTGTCGCTTACGTTCTGAAAGGTCATGGCATAAAAAGATGTTGTTAATATACAATTTATAAAGTTATTTTGCATACATTTGCCCAAACCTAAATGGAAAGAGCCTACTGCAACGATATTGAAATATTCTGCATAAAACTAAAAAATTACAGTCAGTAAGTCTACATTAACACATATTTTCAGAGAAAAACACAATAATAGCTTTTGATATTCTTAAATATATCGGTACGTGTAGATCTGCATATACACTAATTAACATGAAAATGCACACATATTGGCTTACAAAAACATGTATCAACAGATAACAAGAGGCACAGTCGTTGACACACGTTATCATAAATGTGTGTACCGATACACGCATTTACATTTAGAAACACCAAAAGAGTGTCATGTTCATACAGCCCTTGATCGTTACCCCACACGCAAAATATCTCCAGCAAATATACTTCATTAAAATTCCCTTATTTTCCACAGTGGCCAACAAGCTGATATTTCGCAAAAGGAAAGTATTGACAAGTGACGTCCGTTGGTTGTGCTATTGTCTGGTCTTCTTCATCCGAACTTCAATTTCTAAATCACTCCCACCTCTACTTTAAGTTAAGATCGTATCACCCCCACCCAACACTTTGCTTTCTTTTTCGGAGCTGCATGCCATAACACAATTAAAAAGGCTCAGCGCCATATTTCTTACTTTTCATAAGATTCACGCGTGGCGACCTCAAATCCAAGCCGATGTACTTTTCGAGAAAAGGGGTTTTGATGATGCTGGTAGAACTGCAACGCAAAAAAAGAAAGAAACGATAGAAAAAAAAAGCATTAATCGCAATATGAAATTTAAAAAAAAGGACCTATAAAGATTTTAAGATCTGAATTAAGACAAAAATTGAAAAGAAACGTTGTACAAAATCTGGATGCTTTTCTTTTCTCTTGAAACTCCGTTTTCTTCCTTTTCACTGACAGCCGTCACCAAGGAATCCGTCTTTTCGTGTGCCATCTCCCGTTAGGGAAAAGTTCGCTTTTGCAGAATCAGTATTCCACAAGGCGTTCCTGCTCTCCTTGTAGCGGTCATGTCGACAGCAATGGACGTCACTTACTACCATTGCAACTTCTTTCTTTATAACTCCTCCAACCATCTCCAACACACACACACACACACACACACACACACACACACACACACACACACTCATTTGTCCAATCTCACCCCGTAGCTTGCTAACATCCTCCTGACTCTGACCTCACCAGCTCCGAATCCCTCTCCGCCGTCGTTAAACATCCGGGTTTTCGTCAGATGCTGTTTGTCTTTCTTTAAACGGAGCTGACAAAACTGATGTCAACTTTCTTATCCCTTAGTGGCCATCTTCCGAGCAGCTTTGTCATTAAATCCCCCGTTGTCCTGTCTGCTTTCACTTTGTCTATTTCTTTCTGTCGACCACATATCTCATTCAATTATCCATTCTATTCTTTTTCTTTTTCAATTCTTTTCGTCCATTGCTTTTTCTCCTCCTTTCGAGATTTCGCTTCGTTTCTTTTCAAATAAAACTCTTCTTTTTCTTCTTCATTTACATTTCAATAAACCACCTTTCTTTCTTCCCTGACTTTCTATATTTTCCTTCTTTCTTTCCTTCTTTCTTTGCTTCTCTCTCTCTTTCTTTCTTTATTCATTTCTTTGTCTCCTTCTTTCCTCTTTCTTTCTTTCTTTCTTTCTTTCTTTCTTTCTTTCTTTCTTTCTTTCTTTCTTATATTTTCTTTCTTTCTTTCTTTCTTTCTTTCTATTTCTTTCTTTTTTCTTTCTTTCTTTCTCTCTTTCTTTCTTTCTTTCTTTCTTTCTTTCTCATATTTTCTTTTTTTGTATCTTCCTATATTTTCTTTGTCTCTTTCTTTTTTTGTTTCTTTTTTTGTTTCTTTCTATATTTGTTTGTTTGTTTATTTTTTGTGTTTCTTCCTATATTTTCTTTCTTTCTTTCTTTCTTTCTTTCTTTCTTTCTTTCTTTCTTTCTTTCTTTCTTAAATTAGATTGATACCATGTTTTTACTTTCCAATTTTCAAACTTTTAACTTAATTCCCAAACTACCAATTATAAATCACTCAAATTTTCAGCCAGAAGAAAAAAAAAAGCCCAATACACGTCGTCTTTTATCGTATGATTCCAAACTCAGATAAATAACGATTAAACGAGCTGTACTTTATCGATTAACACATAATTATAAGATATATCAATATATTTATACTTACATTAAGAACATACAAACAAAAGATTATCGATACTTTCAGTTAAATATCAAATATATACGCGTTAATTATTGCAAGTGAGATTATCGACATCGCTGAATAATCTAACGAACATGAATTTACACAAAATACATATTTAGGGTATTTTTTTCCAGTGATGTTCATTCTGTTGAAAGCCCGGGAACCACTCAAGGTTTATGCGGATAGGAGGGGGAGATAACGGTTTACTCTAGCCCAGAACATTTAATATTGTAATGATCGGGAAAGCATCCTCTTGGGAGTTGATTCGACAAAGCACCAGTTCATGGGAAGAAGCTACTCAAGTGGAACTTACATCTCACCAATGGAATACGAAAGGAATCGGGGTGGTTCGCTACTATAGGAGTGGCATGTCGGGTCTTAAACTAAGGAATGTAGTTAGTCTTGTTGGACGATTTCCTCAAAGATGAAGAAGAGACTCGAGGCGGCAACGGAGATGTGGTTCTACAGAAGGATGCTAAGGATATCATGGACCGAGCGTGTGAGCAACGATGAGAGGTTGCAAAAAAGGAGAAGGCTTATACTTAGCATCAGGTAGAGGCAGCTGAAGTTTATGGGACACATAATGAGGAAGGAGGGTCT